GCTTAACAATGCAGGTCATAGGATGAGTTTTTAATTGTTTTGATATTTTTACTAAATCCGTGCATACAAATTAGCCAATATGCACAATAGTATCCTTTATTTATTGACAGCTTAATACATGCATACATATTAATCATCAAAACGCCCAACTATTTTATCTTCTGAAAGCATAAAAACGATCACATGCAGAAGTTTACTTCAGAATTCTCTTACTAAATTCATGCATTTATAGAGAAGTATAATAGTAAAAGTTCCATTAATGAAATTACAATGTACATTATATGTGAAATCAGAATATTTCGTTTTACTAAAACAGTGTTTCTTTTCCATAAAAGAAACCTGGACATTGATGTTATTATTGAAGTTTTACATCATAGTTCAAATGTCTTCACTCCTTTCTGAGTGTATCCATGCATACCAATTAACCAATTTGCATAATCGTATATTTTTTTTAATTTCTGAGAGAAAGCTTTATATTGATGCCATTCAGAGGACGCAAGATAATTTCCCCAGTTGGTTTCAAATCTTCTCTTCTCATCGCTGTCTCTATTTTAAATTTACGAAATATCGATGACAGCACAACTTTTTCTTCATATAAGGCAAACTTCTGTCCTATAAATATCAAAAGATAAAAAACATTAAATTTGTGAAAGAATATTATTTGTGGTCATATTTAAGAATTAGAGGGGTAGGGGTGGTGAGGTGGTCAGTTAAATAAATCAACAAATCAGTTATTAAGACAGTTTGAACTGATTCAAAGATTATATCTCATCTTCTTTATTCTTTCATTATTATGTCATTATCATAAGAACACTGAAAATAAAACAAAAAATGGGGCCACAAGACATTTTTTGAGAAAAAAAAGTGTAGGAAAATCACAGAAAATGGTCAAACTTTGCATTTTTGCAAGAGTTTGAATATTGCAATTATCTTCATATTAAAATGCTAAGAAGAAGAAGTCATATATTCTTATTAATATGAATCCCAATATTGTTAAAAACAATTTCAAAAATTAATTTAATTTCCAGTGTCATAATATTTTTCCCTTACATGTACGTTTTAAGTTCTCCAAAAATGCATTGCATATACGCGTAGTAATAATAATAATAATAATAATAATAATAATAATAATTTTATTTACCTAGAAAATATTTCACATACAATACGCAAAATTGTACATGCAGTCTAGGTAAAATTGGATCTGAAATAACTTAAAAGCTAGTTGAGTCGGATCTCTGACATGACATGAATTTAATGACTTAAGTTAAGACTGACAGTAGGTAACTAGGTAGTTACACATCAAAATATTTCAAATACACTCAATGGTGTGAAATTTGCATTCGAGTCAAATGTGCCCCTAATGGAAATTAGAAATTCAAATAGAGCAAGGAAAATAGTCTCTATGTTGTGTTGTAGTATACCATTTATTTGCCGAATTGCTGTTAATAAAAACAGTTTTTGTAAAATTATTAATATTGGTTGTAAAAAAATATACATGAAAAAAAGTTGATGATAAGTGATGTGATGATTGCAGTAAAAGTTTCCACTTACCGATGCAGTTTCTCAAACCAGCTGAGAATGGTACGTAAGCATATGGATGGCGGTGCTTGCTCCTCGATGATGAAAATCTGTCTGGATCAAATACTTCTGGATTAGGGAAGTATTTTTCATCCCGATGCAATGCATATGGTGCAACAAGAATATTAGCTTCTGACGGAATTTTGAACCCAGCTGAAATGAAAGGGTACAATTAATAAAAGGAAAGAGGATGATTGTTCCTCATTAAAATGAAGACAATGTCCTCTGGTGTTGAACTGCGGAAAACAATTTGCCAAACTAACAGTATTTTATAAAATTTATGGGATTACAGAATAAGTAAGTGTAGAGCGCCATCAAGTGGTGGAGTTTAGGCATGGACGTAGTAGCTAACACACTTTTATCACAGAAATTTCCAAAAGCTTCATAAAATATTCCAGATAATAATTTCCATAATTTCACAAGTTAGCCACATTCATCCTAAAATTCATTTGTATTCCATGCAGGAATATTTAAAATAATTAAGACTATTAGAAATGACAATGTTAAACGTCAATGTATAATTTTATAATTATATAATTCTATAACTTTAGTATTAGTATTAGACTTTTTTTGTTTGCTGTCAATTAAATTTGAGAGAATAACTGACAAATACAATGTAAAAAGTACAGCAGGACCTTCTACAACAGAGAAAAAGACTGTTATATAAAAATATTACTATTAATATATATTAAATAATATATATTAATTAATATTAAAAATATTCATTTGGAGGTACAAACTCTAATAAAGGCAAAACAAAAATAGATTTTCAGTGTGCACATTAATTTGAAAGATGTATGCCATGCATTTCCCATTTTTATCACTGGAGGACAGCACATTTTATTGCATTATGGGATAATTACCTAAAGTGACATCTTCATCCAGTTGCCGTGCAAAGATTGGTACAGAAGGATACATACGAAGGGATTCCTTGATAGTGTTGTCTAAATATTTCATTTCTTTCAAGTCATCCATGGTTACTGGTCTATTACTATCACCTGAACAGAGCAATAATAGAACAAAAAGCGTCCATATTACATCACCACAGGCAGTCAAATTACATCACCACAGGCAGCCATATTACATTAAATCACCACAGGTAGCCATATTACATTAAATAACCACAGGCAGCCATATTACATCAAATCACCACAGGCAGCCATATTACATCAAATCACCACATGCAGGCATATTGCATCATATCACCACAGGCAACCATATTACATCAAATCACCATATGCAGCCATATTACATCAAATCACCACATGCAGGCATCTTGCATCATATCACCACAGGCAACCATATTACATCAAATCACCACAGGCAGCCATATTACATCAAATCACCACATGCAGCCATATTACATCAAATCACCACATGCAGCCACACAGGATCAAATCACCACAGGCAACCATATTACACAAAATCACCACATACAGCCATATTACATCAAATCACCACAGGCAGCCATATTACATAAAATCACCACAGGCAGCCATATTACATCAAATCACAACATGCAGCCATACAGGATCAAATCACCACAGGCAACCATATTACATCAAATCACCACATGCAGCCATACAGGATCAAATCACCACAGGCAGCCATATTACATCAAATCACCACATGCAGCCATACAGGATCAAATCAACACAGGCAGCCATATTACATCAAATCACCACAGGCAACCATATTACATAAAATCACCACATGTAGGCATATTGCATCAAATCACCACAGGCAGCCATATTACATCAAATCACCACATGCAGCCATACAGGATCAAATCAACACAGGCAACCATATCACATAAAATCACCACATGCAGCCATACAGGACCAAATCACCACATGCAGCCATACAGGATCAAATCACCACAGGCAGCCATATTACATACAATCACTACATGCAGGCATATTGCATCAAATCACCACAGGCAGCCATACTTCAGCAAATCAGATGTATTCACATTGCATGAAATGCAGCCATATTGCATCAAATCACCACAGGCAGCCTTATTACATTAAATCACCACAGGCAGCCATATTACATTAAATCACCACAGGCAGCCATATTTCTTCAAATTATCACAGGCATCTATTTTGCATCAAATCACCAGACAAGCATATTACATGAAACCAATATTTCAAAGGATATAAAAACACACATACCAAATATTCCATCTAATTCTTCAAAGATTCTCTCTTGCACTTCGGGATGTGATGCAATAAGATAAGTAGCCCATGTAAGAGCAGCGGCAGTCGTATCATGGCCCTGCAATAAACAGAATATATGGTGATCTATTTATGATCTGATGAGTTTCCATGAGATAATCCTGTACTACATGAAATGTTAATTATTTTGCAAACATCAGTTACCGGACCCCCACATTAAAGAAGAAAACAAACACAAGTAAAATTAAATGTTTACCTCAAAGAGAAATGTATCAACTTCTTCCCGTATGTCAGTGAAAGTAAATTCAGGGTCTGCTTCATGCATATATAACAACATATCAAGAAATGCTAAATGCTTACGACCACCGATAGTCGTCATTTCAGTGTCTTCTGTCACGGTCTGTCCCTGTGATGCAAGGTGCTTGCTAAGCTCAGCTGAACGATCTTTAATGACCTGATAATATGGGTTACATTAATACTGACAATGAAATTTGGTTATCGTATGTAAATAAATTAACAATAAAAGTAACATATTGGGTTTAATATATTATGTAAACCAGATTAACAATAACAAATAATACACATGTTTATCTTGTGTGAACTAAATTAACACTGAAAGTAACATATTTGTTACTTTATGTTAAGGTAGCGAGACTATTATTTG